AAACATGAAAGTTAATAATATAGTACCCTCATTTCTTATTGGATTCCTAAAAAACAACATTTATAATGAATTTTAATCATTTTTTCGGATTTTTTTGAAGCTATAATCCGACCGATTCAGCCGATTCCCGATCCGGATCGCCGATTCACCGATCCGGATCGGTTTTTGAGATGCCCGATCTGGGTCACCGATCCGCTTTTAAACCATTGGTTATGAGAATTATGTCGTTTCTTCTAAAGAATTAAGTTGCCTAAATTAAAGAAGTTATATAGGAATCACTTTGTTTCAGTTTGTTAGTTATTCTGATGAGGATTAGCTGTCCTTGCCAAGTGCAAACTTGTTTATTTTTAGGAGCAAACTGTATGTTCATCTTCTTCTAAATTTTCTTGAACCCCTGAATCTGATGTCCTGTTACAAACACCATATTTTAGATTATCTGATCATGATTAAGGCTATTTAATTGTGAGTTTTGATATTCTCCATTATTTTGACTGCGGTGAACGTGAAAGTGCTCTTGCTGCCTTAAATATTGATTCCGAGGAAGGATTTGCTAATGACAGAACTAATCACCATAAAGGTCCTCACCTTTGTCTAAAAGATATAGTTGTATAATGAAGTTCATAGCTATTCTAGCCACGAAAGCTTGATTAAAGGTCTCCTCTTGTCTCATTTTATACCTTGGCAACTTGATGCCTTGGGATCTCCTTCTGATTATTGATGAGCTCAGGTCCTCTATTTTTCATCAACAGGTTTTTATGGCACAGGCGAATGCTATATCTAGTGGCTTCAATGAGGTCTTGTACTTGGATTCTGTCCACAAAAAGTACCTGGAGGAAGTTTCGGCATGTAATATCTTTGTCGTAAAGGTATAGTGTCTTAAAAATCAAATTTTATATGTTTCAGGATATTTAGCTCATTTGCTCATATGCATTATTGATTTCACTGAAGGATCACTGAAATCGAAATGGCATCATTAAATTCTATTGTCATGAGCCTTTGGCATGCTTGTTTCTTTAATTACTTTATTCATATTTGACTGACATTGTAGATACGAGGAAGTTTTTTGATGTGTCAACCTAAAGATAGAATTGTCATGAGAGACTTCATATATCGTTGTAGTACTCCATAATTAGGGTCCACTTTTTCGTTGACAGAAGTTCATCACTTTTGCATTCATGAACTTACTATCAATCTCTACAACTCAACTAAAAAGTTCTATAAATCTAGGTGACTCTAGAAACTACAAAGGTGATTTTGTTCTCTAATTATAGTCATTGATATGGATTTGATCTATTGAAGCATAAGGTTCATGGCAATTATGTCTTTAGTGCAACTTCTGGCCAAGTCATGCGAGAGTTTTGTAACTCGTCATTTCTTGCATGGTTTTTAAATTATATGTAGTCTTAGGAGCAGGTTTAGCATGCCTGGTTAGTAGTTGTTAATTGCTACACTAAATCTCAAGTTTGAGTCCTACCACTGAACTACCCAAAAAAAGCATAGTCTATCTAAGAGGCTGTTGGTTGTTTCTTTTGTAGTATTTTAATACTCTTGCAATGTTAATATTTAATATTAAATGCTGGTGTCAGCCTGAAGAAGATCAGTAACAGGCAACTGTTGAAGGGAAATTATATTTCTACCAAATATTAAAATCACAGCTTAAGCTCTTGGGTTGCATATCCAAATCACGACGATTCACAATAGTCATAATCACCTGATTTGATCACATACATGTGATTTCTGATAAAGCAAAATGAATGTTCGATTTTTTTAAAAAGAAAATTGCATGTTCTATCCATTGAAAATTTATTATTTGTCAAAATAATAACATGCCCATTATGTCCATCATAAACTCTATTATGTCCTTTATTTTCAAATGTCACCCATAACCCAATAGGCGGATGTATTTTCTGGTACCATTGTTTAACCAGTATTTGGCCCATCCTGGTACCGATCAATGTACTGGTTTTTCAGACTTATGTGTTCATCTTCAGAGGAAGTTTAGTAATTCAATTGTAGGGCACTAAATTATGGATTGAACCATAGTTACCTGTTTCTGGGTTTGATCCTACTCCAGAATCTTGCTCTTGCATTTTTTATATTTTGGAATCTCTATCCTTCCTATTAGGTATTAAGATCCTGAGTTATATTGGATCCAAATTCCCTAGCACTACAGTATAGTATAGTAAAGCATCTAGCAGTGCAGTGTAAGATAGTATAATGGTATAGAATCATAATATAGACTAACAGTGTGGTATTGTATAATAGTATATATATAGCATAGCATACATCATACTGTTGTATGTAAGAAGGGCTTTGTATGTGCTGGTTATGACTGCTAATTCACTGGTTCAATAAAATTTTCCAGGCAGTAAATTATATGTTGTTTGGCAGTGTCCCTCTTAAAATTATTTGAGATAAAATTATTGAAAAACAAAGAGAAGAAGAGAGAAAAAGAGGCACAGGCTATTCTACCATGATAGCACACACTAGGGCTCTGCCCTAATTCTTGTAATATAACATATACAATTTTACATCTTGAGTAAGGACAAATTTGCCCTTACATGGTACAGCAAATGACTTTGCAATATATGAACTACTAAAATGCCACAAATTGCAAAACCGCCCTTTGTTGCACTACACCCCCTCCCATGTGGTAGATAGATCATGTTTGATGTTTGAACATGTCTACTTGTCCTTTAAGAACTCATGTCTATCTTTAGCTAGCCCTTTTGTGAAGATATCAGCTATTTGGTTTTCGTTCCCAATAAACCAAGCCTCTACCTCCTCGGCTTCAATTTTGTCATGAGAAAAATGGTAATCTATTTGAATGTGTTTCGTGTGATCATGAAAAATTGGATTTGCTAAAATTGCCAGAGCACTCTTGTTATCACAATAAACTGTTGACGTGCATATTTTTGTTCCAATGTTGACTTGCATACATTTTGTTTCAAGAAAAGAAACAATATTTCATATCCATGAAATCTCTATTGCAAGTGCTCGATGCCCAACCTCAATATTAGACCTTGCAACAGTTTTTTGTTTCTTGCTCGAAGAAATTATATTCCTATCAAGAAAGACACGATTACTGAAACTGATGTTCTAGAATTTGGATCTTCAGCCTAGTATGCATCAGAGTACCCAACTTTAGAAGCGATCTTCAATTTATTCATGTTGTTTCTTTCATAACTCTACCCATGACTCACTGTTCGTTTTACGTATCTGATTATTCTCTTCAATGTTTCCATGTGTGTGTCAATGGGAACACGCATAAATTGATGCACTTAGATAACAACATATGATATATCAGGCTTGGTGAGAGTGATACTGTAACACCCCTGCTAAACTTCTTTATCTCTCTGGATTATCTAAAGGTTGCTCTTCCAATATCCTTAATCTTTTATTCAGAGCAGCTGGTGCACAATATGGCTGCAATTGGTCATATTTGCCTTTTCAAACGGTAGAGCGTACTTTTGTTGAGACAACGACTTTTGATTCTTATTTCAGTCTACTTTAATTTCAAGGAAATATTTCAACTAACCTAAGTCTTTCAACAGAAATCATGCAAAGATTTCTTGAGACCATCAATAAGGACTATTGAACTCGCAATAATTATATTGCCATCAAAATAAAGTAGAATGATAATAATGCCTTCCTTGTTGTGACAAATAAACAATGAATGATCTAATGCTGCTAATGCTGCCTTGATAAAGCCCCTTTCTTTTAACACATTATAAAAGCACTGAAACTACGTTCTTGAAGCTTGTTTTAACCATATATAAATCTTTTTCAGCCTACAAAAATGAGTCCTTGGATTCCCTTCATGGAAATTTGGTGGTTGTTCCATGTAGACCTCTTCGACCAACTTTCCAAGCAAAAAGGTGTTCTTAATATCCAACTGAAAAAGGAGACGAACCATTGGCTAAAGCATGCAAACCATAGCCATCTCAACAAAAGGGCTAAATGTTTCATCATAATCAAGTCCATGTTATTGACAAAATCCTTGCAGCCAGCCTTGCTTTAAACTTTTCCAAACTGCCATCTGACTTGTACTTCTCTTTATATATTTCTTGCAAGTCTTGCTTCACCCCGTTATTCTCTAGATAGGTTCTAAATTTAGAAGATGAAAACTCTCCCCCTCCATCACTACGAAAGTAGGATATAGGATTTCATAAATTTTTTTCAACAAAGATTTTGAATTTCGTGAAAATGTGAAACATTTATATTTGTTCATAAGAAAGAATATCCAGGTGAAATGAGAGAAATCATCCATAAATGTAACATAACATAAAGAATCTGATAAAAAAGATTGTGGAATGGGACCTAAACATCAGAATGAATTAATTGAAAGGGAGCAAAAGCTCTTTTATTGTAAATCATCAATAGAAGTTTCACATGGTTTACCCAAATGATATCTGTGACACACAAATGAAGATTGAATCTCAAAATTAAAGGGAATTAAGCCCTCTTTGCATAATTTGTTTAAAGACAGGACTGCAATGACCTAAATGATGATGCCAAACACTGGCATCTTTATTGATACTAAGAGAAGAAATGAATAATGTGAACGTTTCTTGGAATGATTATCGATAATATAAAGCTATTCTTGATGAGACCCTTTTACGGAAGTTATTGTCGATTGTTGCTCCTTTAAAAAAAAATCAGATGTATGAAAAGAATTTTCTCGAGCTAAATAACAAACTAAAATAAGCTTTTGCTTATTTTAGGGATGAAGAAAACACTAGATAAATAGATAGGATCACAAAAGGAGTGAACTGCGACACATCCTACATGAGTGATATTGGGAGAGGTTCCATCACCAATATAAAATAGAGTCATTACTAGAATGGACTTATGGATGCGAACATACCACTATCACCTAAATCATGATTTGTAGCACCATTATCCATAACCCAACTTGTCTCTGTAGGTGATGTGATAGCTAAGTTCCCGGAGAATGGTTTAGAACAACTTGACTTTCAACTAGCTGGGTTTTATAATGATCAAAGCATTTAAGAACTGTATGAATAAAAAAAAAAAAACTGGCAATCAACACCGCCATCTGAAGTGACAGATGATCTGGTTGAATGAACAATGAGCAAACTACTCTCTCCTCAACCTTGACCTCCACATCCTCTATTTCGGCTTCCATGTCCTCTAGCTCGATATCCTCCACCTCTTCCACCACGGCTTAAATTCCAGCCCGTATTAATATTTAAATTACTGTTGGACAATAAAACAATATGTCAATCAGTAGTAGTAGACTTTTCCAGTGAGGCTTTAAGTTTGAATAATGCTTCATGTTGCAACAATAATGGTTGCAATTCACTAAACAAGGGAAATATAATTTCATCATCACCAAAGAAACAAACATTTTTATAATCATCTTTAAACCTCTCAAAACATAATGGAACTTGTCCCTTTCACTTGGAAGATCTTGCACCATTGCAAGCTGATCACATGAGGCTTTTCTCTTGTTACAAAACTCTGGGGCTAGAATGTTATATCTTTTACAATTATGAAGCTCACTTTGAAGATGCATGATTGTGGCTTCTGCTTCTTGAGAAAATAAGTCAAATAGGGCCTCCCAAAGTGCTGCAGCAGTTGGTAAATTAATTACTTGATGGATTTAGTGCTGTAGTAGATGGTAAATTAATCACTTTAGGAATAAATTCTTCTGAAAGAGTGGGACAGATCCAACGGACGAGGTTCTGGTCCCTAGATACACAATCATCATAAGCAGGGTTAGATTGAACAACTTTCTTAATTGTTCCATCTTGGTTAATCTCTTCTTTTGTTAGAAACTCAACTAGACGCTTTGAGGAATCTTCAATGTGCCCAATAACTGCTGACCTATTATATAAGTTAGAACTAAATCTTCCAGGTGAAATAGTTTGACGCATTGCTTTAATAGGTATGTATTGAGAATTAAGAAGACCAATACTAGTAGCAGAAGACAAGGCCTGCATTAACAGAATAAGGAAAAGCGAGAGAGCAAGAGATTTCAAGGAGGAAGAAAAAAATAAAAGAAACAAGCCACTAAGTTTTGATGAGCAAGAGAGAGAAAGCACTTAGGGTTTGGACTAGATTTTAAGAACTAAGAAGGAGAAAGCAGTTAGGATTTTTTTTTTGAAGAGAACGAAATAGGTTAGGAAGAGAAATATTGTATATTTTAAGTGGATCTAGGGTTTTACATGGGATGAAGAGAGAATAAAGAGTTTTGTGGCTGAAATATGAGACCTTAAAAGGAAGAACAGTATTATAAACAGTAGAATGAATAGCAGCATGAACAGTAAATGCCCCCAAATTTGGAGGAAAAATGAGGGGGAAATATTAGGGTTTAGGAAAGGAGGATGAAGAAAGAAACATCAGTGTTTAGAAGAGAGAGGTAATGAATCTTCAAGAAGAAAGAAATATAGGCTACCTTGATTAGATATGATCATTGAAGAGAGCATATTCAACTCTGATACCATAAAAAACATAGTGAAGAAGAGAGAAACAGGGCAAACACTATTCTACAACGAAAATGCACACTTGGGCTCTGTCCTAGTTCTTGTGTTGTAACACATATAATCTTACATCTTGAATAAGGACAAATTTGCTCTTAATCCATGCCTTCATCCGATATACTCATTAGCTCCATTTTCCTTAGGGTTTCACTATTAAAAAAGTAAGAAAAGAATGGTAGATTAGCTTGTGCCGTTTATGAGAAAAGAATGGTAGATTAGCTTGTGCCGTTTATGAGACATACTTAAAGACTTGAACTTGAACCTCCCTTACCCAAACCATTGTCTACTATGAACCCGAGGCTGTTGAGGTTTTGTGGCCTTTAAAGGCCGTGAGAGCATGTAACATAATATTTACAGTGGACTATGCACTTTAGTTGGACTGTGTTTGTGTTGACTAACCAAGGGTTAAGCGATTTATGGCCTTGGTTATGTCCAAAAACCCTTAACCCTGAGCATGTGGCACTACTGAGAAAGGTTCACAGTGGGTCATCCCTTGTTGAGGTTGGAGAGATGCCAAGGGATGTTGTTTGTAGGATATGATAACTGTGTAGTCTCCTGTGTACGGTTGTAGGCCTATGAGAGCAAGGACTAAAGCCTCAACAAACTTTCGTAAGTATCTTTACATGACAACCGCATTACCGAGAAGCAGCCCTATAGAGGGACATTTGTACATGTATATAGAGAGAGTCCTCTTTCCATTGTAATGATAAGTGTTAGGCTTGCTCTTAAAGGGGGAACTGAAATCCACATTCCGATATCACATTTCCATTGTTTATTGAGCCAACTTATACAAGCCGATCATGAGCCCCTGCATAAGACTGTGGGTCATGGGTCTTTGTTCGGTTGGTTTGAGGAGACATTTGTGGCTCGTGGTTATTGGGTCGAGTGGAGTGTCCTTATAATCACTTATTTTCACCCATTGGTACCAATCTACTTCGAGATATTTTACTTTTGGTGTTAGAAATGGTTTTGCGAAGTTTAGAAAAAAGTTATATGTTGTAAAATCCTTATAAAAGGCAGTTTCAAAATTTTCAAAATAAGGAAGGGCACATGTGGGGACCTTGGATCAAGCTGCCACTTGTGTGCCACCCTTATATGGGTGGCACATGTCACCTAGACACCTACGGGGCCCACATGAGGCCCATAGGGTAGCACGTTCCACTCCTTTAATTATTTGGTCTTTATTTGCTAAAAGTTTTGAGTTAATCTTTTAAATTAAAAGATTCATTTCCTATTATTGTGGGAGTTATTTTTGACCAAATAAATGTTACCTTTTGACTTTTGACAATTTTTGAAAAAAGATAATAGGAAGTTCTAGATTGGATATAATCCTATTTAAATTAGAAGTTGGACTTGTTCAAATTATAAGGGTTAAGGTTCCTAATAAAGACTATGATGGCTTACTTGTGGGATGGATGGCTCAAATTTAATTTTCTCATCGCGTCGATTTCCTAAGTTCCTATTGGTCAAGCTAACTCATTAAGATATATGTACTTAGAGAAGGAATTCTAATTCAAATAGAAGTAATCTTTGTATTTAAACAACTTTTGAGCTCTTCTCTCTCTACACACATATTTCACTCTCCTTGACGCATCATAGCCCTCTCTCTCTCTTTCATCATTAAAATTCATTTTTGTCTCTCCTTCTAAAATCGGTCATGCCACGCAAAATTTGATAAGATAAGCATGGCACGTTGAAACTCTAATTAGGGTTTTGTTATTTGGAAAAGAAAAAGGGGCACATCCAGCCATAGGAGGATTATATGCTTTCACGACCAGTCCTAATTTGTTCTTAAGGGTTCTTACAAACCCTTGTTAATTTTCCGTACTCTCTAAAACCCTAGATGAAGAGGTATTAGCTATGAAAAGTTCCCATATCTGAAATTCCAGCAAGACCAAAGGATAAAAGTGTGTCATCGGATAGGGAATTGGGTAGGCCATGTCTCAAGTCCTATGGGGGTAACCTGAGGCATGATCAAGTAAGTATTCCCAGCTGTTTTTATTTATTTTTCAGTCATATTAGCATACTTTCTGTGAATTCCAGGAGCATATATTGTACTCAAACTGACTGTGGAAGGTTGGATATTTTTTCTGGTTTGGTTTATTTGCTTTGGCAGTAAAACGAATGAACCTAGTTTGTATTTAATGTTTTATTTTTTATTTACAATAGTGTATTATGGCCTATGTAAGTGAAATTCAGGTATATTAATGAAAGTTGAAAGAAATTTTTTGAATTTATGTCTTGAGTTACACATAGCTACACCTTTCAAAGCCAAGTGGCACATGGCTTCACTCTTAACCTGACTTCACAAGTGGTTGTTATCTCCTTATGCCCCTGCATGGATGGGTGCAATTGTTTCTTTCGTTAAAATAAAATTTGGAATATTTGTTTAATGTGTAGCCTTGATTGCAGAGATCCGAAAAATTAAAATATGCATGTTTTACTGGTGGGCTATATATGTTAACATGGATTTTATGATGCAAATTGTCATATGTTACTCCTTTCTTTGACATGCTGCATGAATGTTGTTTCTGAATCCATTAAATCAGATTTACTTAAAATGAAAGATGTCCCTGTAATCATTTTTCTCATGGTTCGTTTGACTTTTTTCATTAACCAGGGTAAATCAATTTCAACGCCACCAATAGATGGGACAATTTTGCCTGGAATTACTCGGAAGAGTGTGATTGATATTGCTCGCAATGAAGGATACCAGGCAATTGTTCTGCATTTAGATTGTCAATGACATATTTGTTGCATGGAACTAGAGAAGTCAAACTTCATATTTTGCTAGTGAATTATATGGCAGGATGAGATTATGCATTCTCCTGATGATGATAATCCAATCATGTTAACGTGCAATCTTTTTATGTTAAGTGACGTATTTAGTGAAGCCGTGGTTTCATGTGGTGGCACCTCAAGTACTCATCATGGAAATGCATTGATGACCCGAAACCCACTTGAAATGCTTGCAAATCCATTTCTGTTTCCAAAATCTTGAATTCGGAGCTTCTAAAATGGTATAAATCTGATGGTTCTAGGGTTTTTCGAAATGGATGTTAAGAAGGGGCGAGATGGACCATTTCAAGGGCTCCGCATCTTTTTCTTTCGAATCCATAATCCTGGAGGTTAGGACGATGACAGAGTTTTAGGTCCTCAATTCCATCTCCAAGATGGGTGTCTAAGGTGCAGCTGCATGCAATCGTGGCCATGCCATGACCCTACTGTTTGTTTTATGTTGAGTTTCAAAATTTTCTGGGTGATTTTTATTATATTTATTATAGTTTTTATATTCTGTTGAGTATTCTGGAAATTTCTAGATGGCTTTTCTTTATTTCAGACTCCTATATTCAGTTCAAATATACTGGAAGAAAAATATCTGATGTGGGTATCTCTCATGCATTCCACCGGTGGTAGAGGATACACCCTGATTTTAGGTAGAGAAAGGCAATTCCCTTTCTCCAACAGTGTGATTTAGAGAGAGAATGAGAGGTGGGGCCTGATATAGAGAGAGATTTCTTGGTGTGATTTAGAGTGAGTAATCTGAGAAATAGAGAGATTTTTCGTGTAGCAAGAGAGAGAGTGTGTGTGTTCACCTCCCTGTAAAACAGAGAGGTCTACAAAGAAATCGGGGCATACTCAACTTGCCCATGGGGGCGGTCGAGTTACTCACTTGAGTCCGAGTGACTCGAGTGAGTCCCATAACACTGCTCAACAGCGTTCTTTTTCTCTATGTGACTTTTAACCAAATTTGATTGATGTTGAATAGATCTTTACAGATTTTGAATATTCTTTACAATATTGGGTCTGAAGTGTAGACGACCCTATTTTTAAAGACTGATGGTATACATGGAAAAACAGTGACTGCAAGTTTTACTTAAACGTTCCTTTGCTAGGACATTTGCCTCTGTGAGTTAGATTCTGTTTTGCATACTGGGAGGAGATAGCTAGGCTACTGAATAAATGCCAAATTTCATCTACTACGCTTTTTTGGCTAGTTGATACAGCTACTAGTGTGTTCTTTAGTTATAATCGATTTTCACCTCATTTGCAGGTTCAGAAGGCCACTGATCATTTCCCACATCCTTTCCTCTATCGCGACTTTGCCCAGGGCCTGAATATGTTTCATTATCATACGTTGTCAGTCCCTTATTATTTCTCCCACTTCTGCAGGGCCAGTGTCATCATTTGATCAAAATTAAGTTTCACTAGTAATGGTTGTTTCTACTAATGAATATCACTTGAACTCTCCACTCACTTTTGCCCACTCAATAACCATCGTTCTGAGTTGCTTCTTTAACCTATCAACTCCAAGCTTTTTGTCACTGAAGCGTCTTCTATTTCTATCTAACCATCATATCCATAAAATTGTTAGGAATCCCCCCTTCGGAATTTTAGTGTGAGATACTATTATAGTCCTTGCAATACTCATGTGCTTCTCTGGCTCTCTTAATAATTCCTCTTCATCCCAGGTCAGCCTTTTATTCATGGCAATAGGTGTTCTATAAGGCTTACAATTTACGATAGTAGCTTTTTAAACAAATCTAAAGCATACTTTGAGAGAGCTTAATTTCATTGGAATCTTGATCTACTTCTATCCCAAGAAAATACCTTAGTTATCCCAAATCTTTCATTTGAAATTTATCTCTAAGAAATCTCTTCACATCAGCAATCAACACGAACGAACTACCTGTAATTATAATATCATCAACATATAGAAGTGCGACTATAATACCTGGGTCACTGTCTTGAATGAACAAGGTGTGATCAACTGCTGCTTTCTTAATTCCTCGCCCCTTCAATTCATTATGAAAACTTTGAAACCATGTTGTTGATGCTTTCTTCAATCCATAGATTGAGCGATTCAATTTACATACATACTCTCTTGGATTTTCCTCACTAAATTTCAGTGGCTGCTCCATGTAAACCTCCTTTGTTAAGTCCCCATGAAGTGCATTCGTTATATCCAACTGGTAGAGTGGCTAATCATAGGCTAAGGCTAATGATAAAATAATGCATACTATCACAATCTTAACAACTGGAAGATTTCTTTATAATCGAGTCTGTGATAGCTACCAACCTTGCCTTGAACCTCTCTACACTTCCATCTGATTTATAGTTCACATTATATGCCCTTTTGCAACCTACCACATTTTTTTCTTTTGGTATTCTAGCAATCTCCCATGTATTATTGACATTCCACCTCTTATGCTTTGTTGCCTCTAAGTATGTTGATGGCTCTCTAATCTTAAGGATCTCACTCAAGACTACTTAATGTTCATTGGTGAAACCTCTATAGCTTATATTTATTTCAATCAATGTTTTAAAAACCGGTCCGCCGGGCACTGAGGCGGCTAGAAAAAAATTTCCGCACGCCTCAACCATGGCGCCCCTACACGGGCGGTTGTACCTGGGCGGGCGCCCAGGGCAGTGGGGGGTTTTATCGTAGTTATGTTCGCCCAAAAGGGCAAATGGGGTCATTTTGACCCCCAAGTTTGTATAAAAAAGTTTTTACACAATCTTATTGATGTCTTGATTGTATTCTCTCTTCTTTTGTAATAACTTTATTGCACCATCTTGGTTTGGGCTTTAGATATTTGGACGATTTTTATTTTGTTAGGTTTGTACTTTTTTTGCCTTTTTGGACTATTTCGTTGTGTGGTTTACTGGTTTTTTATAGTTTTGAAAGTCAGTTTGTTGAAGACTTGGAGAGTTGGAGACTTGGATTTTATTATGGTTTATTTTATGGATATGGAATATGGAGAACATGAGAGTTGGAGACCTTACAATAGCCTATTAGACTTTTAAATGTTTTGTATGGTTTTAAATTTTGAATAAGTTTATTCTCAACCTGATTAACTAAGAGGCTAAGACATGTGATATGTTTGTATATAAATACGTAGGTTGCGAACTTGCGATATTTTTAAATGGAATAAATTATAAAATTTGACACAAATATATGCATATTCATGCATTTGGATAGCAAATATATAAAAATATCTAAGAATTTGCACCACAGGGCGCCCGCCTAGGCACTGGGCGCCAGGTAGGCCGCCTAGGGGCCGCCTAGTGTTTTTTGAAACCTTGCTTTCAATAGGATGTTTAGAGTCGATCTCCTCAAGGAAGTGCCCTCAACATTTGCATCAACTTCAGCGCTTAAGATGGTTTAATTCAGATTTTCTATGGGTTGCTTTGTGTGATACAAACATTTAATAACCTATAAAAGTGAAACACATAAAAGCCAGATAGACCTCTTCTTAGTTAAGAAAGTAGATCGACCATTATGTAATGACTGTAAAGTTATCTCAGGAGAGAGTTTGAATACCCAACATAGGCTCATGGTCATAGACGTCTGCATAAAGACATGGAGGAGAAGGGTGGAAAGTAATGGGCGTTCAAGAACTAGATGGTGGAATTTAAAAAATGAAAAAATTGACTTATTTGGGGATAAATTAGTTGAAGAAGGAAAATGGAACTTTGAACATGATGTCAATGTAATATGGAATGAGATGGCTGAATGTATCAAGAAAGTGGCAAAAAAAGGTTTTAGGAGAATCTAGAGGGAAAAGAAGCTTCGATAAGGAAAGCTTGGTGGTGGAATGATGAGATTGAGAAGACCGTTAGCCAAAAACGATTATGTTATAAAACTTGGCAGTGTAATAGAAACGATCAAAACTTAGAAGAATATAAAAATACTAAATAAATAGTAAGTAAAGCTAAACTTAAAGCATATGATAATCTGTACAATAAACGGAACACAAGAGAAGGTGAAAAAATTATCTTCAAATTAGCAAAAATAAGAAAGAAAAGTGGAGGGACTTAAACCATAATATATGCATTAAGAGTGAGGATTAAAAGGTCTTGGTAAAGGATGATGAGGCGAACGACAGGTGGAGAGTCTATTTTCAAAAATTATTAAATGACGAACAAAATGTTAGTAGTAGAAAGTAGTAGAAGGGACTGTTAGTACAAGTGACGATGGAGATCATAGATACATTCATAGGATTAGGATGTCGGAGGTGAAAGAAGCTTTGAAAACGATGAAGATAGAAAAGGCTTTAGGATCAGATGGTATCTCGATAGAGGTTTGGAAGTGCATGGGGGAAATTGGCATTGACTAGTTGACAAAGCTGTTCAAGCTTATGAGCTATACTATGAAGCTTTGGTAGAGAGTCATTGAGCAAGGACTAACGCATGAAACGAGTGTATCGGAAATTAATTTGGTTTTATGCTAGGAAGGTCAACAACTGAGGCTATTTTCCTATTTAGGCAACTGATTGAGAAGTTTAGGATGAAAGGAAAAGACCTCCACATGGTCTTTATTGATCTAGAGAAAGCTTATGATAGAGTTCCTTGAGATTTGATTTGACGGGTGTTAGAGAAAAGGGTGTCTTTAGACACTACATCAACATGGTGAGAGATATTTATGATGGAGTGGTAACTAGTGTATGAACAACTAGTGGAAAGACGAGTGAGTTTTCAATGACAAAAGGTCTATATCAAGGTTCAGAGCCCGTACTTCTTTTGTCTTAGTTACGGACGACTTAATTAGGCACCTACAGGATGGGGTACCGTGGTGCATGTTGTTCGCAGATGACATAGTTTTGATTGAAGAGACCCGAAACGGTGTCAACACAAAGTTAGAACTTTGGAGGGATGCTTTACAATCCAAAGGTTTTAAAATTAGTCGGACTAAGACAGAGTATATTGAATGCA